ATGCAATATGTGTCCTTTTGTGACTGAGATAGTTCACTAAGCATAATGTCCTCCAGGGTCATCTATTTTGCATAATATTTCATGAGCTCATTGGTTCTCAATGCTGCATAGTATTCGTTGTGTGAATATACCACAGCTTCTCTATCCATTCATTTGTTGATGGGTACTTGGGCTGTTTCTGGCTCTTTGCTATTGCGAACAAAGCCACAATAAATATGGGTGTGCATATATCAGCTTGGGTGGCGGTTATGGTTTCTTTAGGGTAAATTCCCAGTAGGGGATTGCTGGGTCAAATGGTATTTCTATTTGCAGCTTTTTGAGAAAGCACCATACTGCCTTCCACAATGGTCGCACCATTTTACACTCCCACCAACAGTGAATAAGGGTTCCAGTTTCTCCACAACCTCGCCAGCATTTGTTGCTTCCTGTTCTGTTAAATTTTGCTATTCTGACTGGGGTGAGATGATATCTCCTAGCTGTTTTTAAAATCTTTGATTTAAAAAATATTTTTAAAATAGAATAAATTATTTATACATTTCTTGAGGTTTTTTCTGCTATTTTAAAGCAGATTGGTTTCAGTTATACGGGGCCTGCTCCGTCGAGTTGGGTGGTGGGGTTGTTGCTGTGTCCTCTAGTCAGAACCAGTTAGCTGACCCCTAGAGGTAATAAATCGCTGGAGAGTTGACTATCTTTCTTTTGTGAAGCAGCTAGGAGATTCGAACCTCAAGCCTTTGGGTCGGCAGTGCAGTTCCTTACCACTAAGCAACTACATTGTGATAGATGGAGGAAGGATTGAAAACTGTCAATGATTTCATCGTCCTTGGATCAACAATCAGCACCCTTCGTACCAGCAGTCAGGAAATCAGGACCGTATTGCATCGAGCAAGTCTGCTTTCTGGGACCTCTCCAGAATGCTGAGGAGTGATTTCAGGATAGGACAGGGTTCAGGTCGGCTGTTCAAAAGGTCTCTATGAATTGTACTATACTCCATGTTGTGGTTGTGGTTGTTTTGTACCGTCTAATCAGAACCGACGCATAGCTGACCCTCTGGCAGGTTTTCAGTCAATTGATTGCTCTGGAGGAGATTGCCCATCCCTCACCTGCAGAGCAGCTGGTGCGGTTTGAACCATGTGCCTTCGGCATTGCAGTGCAGCTTCTTGCCAGCAGGGCACCAGAATTCCTACCTTTAAAAGAAGCAGCAGCAAACGAATGGTTTGAGAGATTATGGTACATTCTCACAAAGGAATACTATGCAGCACGCAGGAGCAATGATTTTGTAAATTATTAGCTAGTTTGGAAGGGACTGGAGAGCATTATGCTGAGTGAACTAACTCAGTCCCACAAGGATAAATATTGTATAAAACTAATATTGTAAAATGAATTTAAGGATCCAAGGGGGGGTGGGAGAGTGTGGAAGCAGAGGGGTGAGGATGTGCAGGGGGAAGGGGTTATTAATCATGGGGTTGTAAAATTTGATGGGGGAGAGGGAAATTGAAAGAATCTGTTCTTGAAAACAATGTATTGGAGTTTTATAAATGAAGTAGTATAAAATTTTAAAAAAAAGAAAAGAAAGCAGCAGCAACAACCACCACCCAGTTAAACAGGGTGCGCAGTTAGTTTCCAGATAAGAGGCAGCCCCGCAGTCCCTGCCTCGCCGAGCCCGCGCCCTGGGTGGTGAAGCGGATCCACCAGGTAGATCAGGGATCCCCAGCACGGACGGGAGGATGGGTCGGCTTTCCGGCCTCTGGCGCCCCCTGGTGTAACGAGAGGGAGTCACAGGCTGCGCGTTCACTCGTGCATCTCTCTGGGCGCCAGGGCCCAGCACTCAAGGAAGATAGATGCTGCAGCAAGCCCCTGAAAATCAGAGACTCTGTGAGGCCCCAGAGGCCTTACAGTCCTGAAGGCACTCTGTGAATTACCTACCTGTCTGAATGAGAGTCCAAGCTGGTTTTGATCGGGGGCGGGCAGAGGGGAGAAAAAAAGAGAGCGACTTTCCACGAAGGAGCTGGATTGGATGAGGTCGGTGGATGGCTAGGATGAGGTAGAGAATCTGCAAGCCTGTGAACCTGACACTTTCCTCCCTAAGCGGGGCAGTCAAGTTCACAGGAGTCTCCTTGAGAGGGAGTTGGTCTTTTGTTTACCATTATTCTTCCTCCTACCTGTGGAGTGCATTGACAGTAAAGATGTGACAGTTTTAGAACATGTTTAGCTTGCACTTTCAGAGACAGCTCTGGAGGCATATAGTGCCTAAGGAGTTGTGCTGCGGCCGTTCCAATCCACCAGCTACTCTGTGGGTAAAGATGGGACAGTCTCCTCCCGTATAATTTACAGACCCAGAAACCCGCTAGAGGATCAGTTATGAGTCAGTTCTGACTCCACAACAATTACTTTGGGTTCTGTTTGTTCGATTTTGCCTTTTCATGCTTCTTTTTTTTTGTTTTTTTCCTCCCCGACCTCACAGTTATTTTACTTCCCTTGTCTTGTGCCCCGGAGAAAGTTGTTCATGGGAAGTTCTTCCTATTAGTCACACACAGCACACATTTTGTGTTGCTATGAAATGTCTCCGGTGCTGTGTGCATTTTGAGGAGCTCTGTTGCTGTAGTCTGTAGGGAGTTGTGCTACTTATCCAAAATCCGTGCTTCTCTGGTTTGAATCCCCTAAAAGCTGGAGGGAGAAAGATGAGACAGTCTTCTCTTGGGCGAATTACAGCCTCTGACGCTGCTGGAGGGTCAGTTATGAGTCCATTCTGACCCTACAGCAATGAGTTTGAGTTGAGTTTCTAGTGGAGGCCAGCTCCTAAAGATAGGATGAAGACACGGGGAGAGGGAGAAGGAGAGGGAGAGGGAGAGGGAAGGGGAGGGGAGGGGAGGGGGAAAAGGAGAGGGAGGGGAGGGGAAGGAAAGGGAGGGAGGGGAGAGGAGGGGAAGGGAGAAGGGGGGAGGGGAGAGGAAGGGAAGGGAGAAGAGGGGAGGGGAGAGGAGGGGAAAGGAAGGGAGGGGAGGGGAGGAGAGGGGAGGAGGGAAAAGAGAAAGAGATGGATGCCCCAAGTTTGCTGGGTCTCATGTGACCATACGCACAACAGAAAAGTATTTTTCCCAGTCCAGCATGCTCTTCGTAGTTGCCAGCATATTTTAGTCCATTGTTTTGGTGCCTGTGCCAATCCATTTCCTCAAGGGTCTTCTTTGCCCTCTGCTTCGTCAGACATGATGATCTCCTGATGAATTGTCTAAGGCCAGCAAGTCAAAGAATGTTCTTGTGATGCATCAGGCTCTCAGACCTCGTTTTCACAAGTAGTTTGCCAGATCTTTCTTCCTAGTCTTTCTTAGTCTGTGGTTTCACTGAAACCTGCCCATCATGAGCAATCCTTCTGGTATTTGAAATATTAGAGGCATAGCTTCTAATATCACAGCAACATGCAGGCTTCCACAGCATGATGGGCTCACAGACAAGTGATTGAACAAAGGATTCACCTCCTATTAAAGCTCTTTTATGACCCATTTATTTTCTGCTTTGCTTTTTGTTGTTCATAATGTGTATTTTAATTCACTGAAAACATGCCGCATTAAGAAGCATTTCTAAAATGGTGTTACACTGTAAGGATTTTGGAACCTATTACATAGAACACTTATGTTTCTCTGGGCTCTGGGAGTAGAATTATGTAGAGCATACTTATTCTTCTGGATTCTGGGAGCAAAATTACGTGGGGCACATTTATTCCTCTGCACATGGAGGTAGGATTAGGGGGACACATATGTTCCTCTGAATTTTGCAGTCTTGTTGACTCCTTGACAGGTTTATACACTTTAAGGCACCTGGAAATGTACACTTTAAGGCACCTGGAAATGTGCTGTTTACAGTCTGTGTATGTAACGATTTACAGTCTTGGACACCTGACGGGACAGTTTTATTCTGTGCTATGGGTTCACTCTGAGAATTTGATTTCACAGCAGCAGTCAAGGGGGTTTGGTTGTGCTTTGTTTCATTTTCACCATGAAGAGCCCTAGGGAACACCATGGTTAAACTCTTTGATGGCTAACTGGAAAGTGTGATGATTTGAACACAACAGCTACTCTACAGGAGACAGCTGTGGTCATTCACTAGATTAGAGCATAGGAAACTCTATGCTCCAGCCAGTTCAACTCAGATAGATGGAGTAGTTATGTGTATTGATTAGCTTGATAGCACCCAACAAGAAGGTGTCATTCAGCCAAAGTGTAGGCAAATCACAGTCAAATCTAGCTCATAGTCTGATTTGCATGGCTTGGCGCTCTGGTGGTGGTGTCCATAGGGAAGTGAGATAGTAATCCAAAGGTGGGGGCCTCTCTGGTGCACTTTGAATCTATCACCTGCCCTACAGGATAAAGATGGACAATCTCAGGCAATCTATAACCTCAAAAATGAGTAGGTTCTGGCTCAACAATGAGTTTGAGTTTGTGAGCCAAGAATTGTTCTTCCATTTCCAAAGGGTTAGCTTTAAAAAACAGAAAAAAAAACCCCACCCAAAATACCCACCAGAAAACCCAAACTATTTCTGCCACAGAATCACATGTGCTCCACGAAGTCTAACATACCATCTGCACCTTTACAAAAGCAGCCCGTTGGCCCCTAATTCTACACACGGAATCACTGAGGCCCAGAGGAATAGAAGGGTTTACCAGTGATGGCAGATATAAGTCCCTGGCAGGCAGAGTTGATAGAGGCTGATGACAAGAACTAGCACTGAGGAAGCTCTTCTCTGGGCCTCAGTCTTCCCATCTGTATAAGGGTCTTGTGTTTTCCCAGCTTTAAGGAGACCTTGTAAAGCTAGTTGCCAACCCAAGGTGCTTTCTTGCACATGCCCACTGTCTGCCATGGTGATGGGCCCTAGGGCTGTTCGGCGGGTGAATCAATGCTTTACATCTTGCCATTAAGCTAAGAATTACTCTAACACTCTGTATTTACAGAGGTGGCTGTCCCAAGACTCAACAAACTCATGCCTTCTCTTTGGTCCCTCCACCCAGTGATACCGTCCAAGCCGGTGTGTGGCATCACGGGAGAGACTGTGATTGGAAGCAACATTGAGCTGACCTGCCGATCAGAGGAGGGCTCGCCCGCGCCTCAGTACAGCTGGAAGAGTTATGACATCCTTAACCAGGAGAGGCACCTGGCCCAACCAGGTAATGAGTCCACTGGAAGGCGGAATATCCTCCACTCCCTGGCAGCCGCTGACATACCCTTGAGTATCTTTCTGAGAAGGATGGTTTTCCTCGTTTGTATCAGGGGATTGATGATGATGATACCACTCACCTCTTACATTGTGAGAAGTAAAAATTATTCATGTAAAACCCTTAACACAGTACATGGTAATAGGGGGCACGTAGTAAATCTTAACTGTTGCTTCCTTTATTCCCTATAACTTAATTCTCTTGAATAAGCAGGTATTGCTAATTATTGTGTGCAAGGCATTGTATGCAAGAGATCTCCTATTCCTACTCTGTGCCCAGGACAGTCCATCTCAGACTCTGCTGACACCACTGCTCCAAAACATGCCACCTCTGTAAGGCCACACCCAAACGAACTTTCACAGCTGCTGGAGTTCTCAAGAAAGGGATGGTAGATTCAGCCGTAGTTGTAAGGAGATTGGTTTTGTACCAGGTAGCTTGATCAGGAAGCAAAGTGGAGACCGCGGGAAGAGAGAGAGAAGGGAGAGGAGAGGGGAGGGGAGGGGAGGGGAAGAAAGGGAAAAGAGAGAAAAGAGAGAAATCTCCTACCATGGGGCCCACTGGTGTGGAATGCCTTGTGGAACCCCTGGACCTTGGATCCCACTGACTGCCAGCTGTATCAGTGCCCCCGAAGACCCAGAAAGACAAAAGGTTGGGAGGTCCTCATCAGATTGAACGTCTGGAGGACTTTTGGTGCTGTGTGGGCTGAAGGAAGCAGGCGGTCAATGGTGGAGCTAGTGGGTGTCTGTTCCAGGAAGTTGGAGCTCAAGATGGGGGCGGGGTGGGAGTAGAGGTGAAGGAACTCAAGGTGAGTCGGGAAGGAGGGGCGGCAGTAGAGGGGGCTGGGAACTCTTGGTGATGGCTAAGCACACCCCGCAGTGTGAACAGCCTGCAGACGGAGAGTCAGTCAACCGTGATGAACTTGGTCACTCCGCCTTTCAGATGTTTGGCTGGAGAAACAAAGACTTCTCAAAAATGAAAAAAAAACAAACAAACAAACAAACAAAAAAAAAACCAAACCAAAAACAACAACCACAAAAAAACATGAATAGGATCGACATGTCTGATGTAAAAGAGAAGTTGAATGCTGGATCTCAAGGAGCGTCCTGTTTTGCCTACATATTTCTGGTTGTAGATTTTCACTGCGGACGTCTGGAGTTGAACTCACCTGGGGGCTTGTCCTTCAGCTCTGTGGCCCACCCAGAGATGATCACAGAGATCTGCTGTGGATACTGATAGTAACTGACCTCCTTTCCAGCAAAGTGTATATCCAGGGACTCAAAGGTTGCAAGGCAACAAATGCGATGATGGTTTTTATACCTAATGATACTGGAACATAGAGTGGATGCTTACGAGGTTTCTCAGAATAGGAGACAGCGGAGCTAGCCGTATAACGTGGTGGTTGCAGGCATGGTCTAGGCTTCAGTTCTGGCTCTGCCCTTTGTTAGCTGTGTGACTATGGCACATAATCCCTCTGTGCCTTGGTTTCTGCGTCTATAAAATAGGCATAATGTTGTTATTTATTTCATAGGACTGTTTGCTTGTTGTTATTGTTGCGAGAGTTAAATAAAAGTATATACAAAAGCTGTGAGATGAGTGGTAGATGATGAGCACCCGAATGCTAGGTATGATTCGCTTTCTCGGAGCGCCTCCTACAGGATATGTGAAGAACAGCATGAGAACTAGGGGTATGGAATGGGTCTGAAGGCGAGGTGACTACGCAGGAATGACCATGACTCATTAGGTAAGAGCAGCAGAGATCATGTGGAGCCTGTGCTTCAGTTTAGGGAGATCGGCCTTTATTTTCTAAGTTGTGGGCACCTTCAGAGGGGCTTTCCAGCAGGTAAACACAGACAGACATCTTAGGTACAACAAGCTTGACTCTACCAGTAAATATTTCTCTGGCTGCTAGAAGCCAAGACTTAGTTCTTCAGTAACCCTAGAGGGATTCTCTGAGGATCCAAAAGTAATTTAAAAGGGAAATTTATTTCTTTTCTTTGGAAAAGTTGCCTCAAGTTTGCTCAGGATCAGAATTGGGACCTGAGGGTGGCAGGGGGGAAAAATGTACCTGAAGGGGCCCAGGTTAAAGTGTCTGTCTCTCTCTTTCTTTTGGTAAATTTTTATTATGTACTGGTTTATTTACAAAGATTGTATACATTGTTTTTACACTGGATCTTTCCCATTTTCTTAACAGCTTTCCCCATCAACTTGTGCCACCCTATGATTAACCCCCTTAACGCCCATCCTCACCCCCTTATTCCTTCCCCCTTGGAGCCTCATATTCATTCTACAGTTATGGTCATTTACACAGTATTTGTCCTTATGGGACTGAGTTAGTTCACTTAACATAGTGCTCTTCAGTCCCTTCCAAGTTAGTGATTTACACAACTATTCAGCACATAGGGTAATTTCTTGAAGCCTCCCAGCTCCAGCCTGCTTCACAGAGCCCTAGAGGACTTTTCTTCCTTTTTAAAAATTATTATTATTAATTTTAATGAAAATTTACAGATATTTTGGATTTCCTTCAGTGTTGCACTTTTCTTCCTGCCCACCCTTCCTCTCCAGTTTGTTCTTCTCTTTGAAAAGTAAAAGAAAAATTCTTTCATTGTTATACAATCCCTCCCCCCAGGTCCACTCCACTATTCAGCCTTTGTTCTGGACTCCTGTCATGACAATAATACCTAATCACCTATACCTTTTAAACAGTTCTCTCCCTCACCTGTTTCAATGTAGTATACATTATTTATCCCATCTTTCTCAGTCTCCCCACCCCCAACTCCTATATCCGTGCCATTTTACAACAGTGGCACCATGCAGTATTTGTCCTTTTGTGGCTGAGATATTTCCAAGGAGTTTTCCTCTTTGTGTCAGTCCCCACCAACTTCTGATTTTTTACATTTCAGTCCATGGTGAATGGTTTGCAGAGGACGTTTCCTTCCAGCCTCCTGCATTTTGGAGATGGAATTCCCCCCACTAGAGATTTGTTCCTTAAAGGTGACGCAAAGTAGTAGCAAAAAAGAACAGAGAAGCTGGAATCCCTTAGACTGAAGGCTGAGTCGGCTTCTCTTCTTGCTAGCTGTAAACCACTGGGCCTCTCTGACCCTTAGTATTCATCTCCATAAAAGTGGGAGATAGTATAGACATACCTTGGGTGATTATGCTTTGTAAACATTCCTTTTTTTTTAAACAAGCTGAAGATTTGTGGCAATCCTGCATCTAACAAGTCTATTTGCACCATTTTCAAGAGATGACATGCTCACTTCATGTCTAGGGTCACATTTTGATGATTCTCAATTCTTTCCAAAGTTTTCCTAATCTATGTATTGTATATGTAATAAACTATACTCACTCGCTCTTTGTCATTCTGTGGGTCTAATTCAAAGGTGACCCTTTAGAAGGTTTCCAAGGTTGTAACTTGCAAGATAGGAGTCCATCTTTCTCCCACACAACTGCTCATGGATTCAAAGTGCCACAGGGCTCAGCAGCGAAACCTCCTATAGACTGGGCCACTAGAGTGCCTTTAATAGGTTACGGTACAATGTAAATATAGCTTTTCCATACACTGGGAGGATAAATGCATGGAGCTCTCTTTTTTGAGTACTGGATTGATTGGAGCATCAGCTTTGTTGGGTTAGTCCCTTTAATATAGTGGTCTGGAGTGGAACTCAGAATATGTCAGAGGTATACCTGTACCTGCATTATGCAGATGACACAACCCTGCTTGCTGAAACTGAGGAGGACCTGAAGCACTTGCTGCAGAAGATCAAGGACTACAGCCTCCTATATGGACTGAAGCTCAGCATCAAGAAAACAAAGATTCTCACCACTGGGCTAATTGGCAGCATCATTATGGATGGTGAAGAGATTTTGACAGTTGTCATTTGCTTGGCTCCACAAACAACACTCTTGGTACCAGCAGCCAGGATATCAAGAGACAAATTGCACTGGGAAAGTCGCTGTCAGGGACCTATCTAGAATACTGAAGAGCAATGATGTTAATCTGGAGACTAAGGTGTGCCTGGTCCAGGCCATAGTCTTCATAATTTCTGGCTGTGCATTAGAGAGCTGGACAATGACTAGGGATGATAGAGAATTGATGCCTTTGAGTTGTGGTGCTGGAGAAGAGTACTGAATATACCATGGACTGCCAGGAGAACAAACAGATTCAAAAAGAGAGTGAAGCCAGGCTCATCCTTGTAGGCAAGGAAGCTTCATCTGACATATTTTGGATATGTTATAAGGAGGGACCAGTCCTTGGACAGGGACATCATGCTTGGAATGGTGGAGGGACAGCACAGGAGAGGAAGGCTCTCCATGAGATGGGTTGATTCAGTCACTGGAGCAATGGGGGTAGGTGTGTCAGAGACAATAAGGTTTGCACAGGATAGAGCAGGATTTAGCGCTCTTATACATAGGGTCACTATGAGTCATAAGTGACTCAACAGCACATAACAACACCATATCTGTACCACCTTCCTGAAGTCTGCAAAAAGGACAATGTGAGATACCGTGCATGATTGTCTGTAAAGTAAATGTCTGAGTTTCTTGCACTGAAAAGTAGGGATTTGGATATTGGAGAAGCTGGAAGAGGCAATTCTGGGGACTGGAATCCTTGATGGGGATGGTAGATTTAGAAGGAGTAACTAGGTTCTGAATGACACACTCAAGCAGCTAGAAAGGATCTTGAGGGTTTGGGTAAGAGGTGGCAACTCAAGCTTACTGAGGAGCCATGGCATTCGGGCAGAGGACAACAAAGTGTAAGTTTCTTAATTTGACACGTGTCCTCTTGGGGAGAGGAAAAGCTTTCCTTCCTGGAGGGCAAATCTCCCCCCCCCCCGCCCCCCCAGCTGGAGCAGAGTGGGAAGTCAACTGTCTAGTGTGTTCCCCTCCTTGACCACAAGGTGTCGCCACTGCAACGGTAACGTTAGTTTCAGACTGATTTCAGAAACTTGAAC